TCTCCTAGGAGCAGAAATAGAGATTTGCCGTCTGAGTTCTATGCGAAAATTTTTATTTCGATTCTTCTCATCTGAGTCATGGTCATTGTACTTGCTTCACATAGTTTTTATTGTGACTAAAGGCGGCTCCATCTACAAAGTCCCTGGATTTGGCACATAGTAAAAACTCAAAAATATTAGTAGCCCCTCTGCCTTTCCCTCCTCCTTCCAGACTTAACACCTGTGGGCTAGAGCAAGGAATGTGAAATCATGCAGGGAGGAGACACTCCCAGGCTGGGAGTCCCATCACCCATCTATGTCCCTCGGGCTGTGAAGCCTCACAGACACTGGCACCCTATACCCACATCCCTTCTCTGCAGTCACGCAGGCTGGGCTTCTTGATCTGGCTCCTGTGGCTTATTCTGTCCCTTTGTCCACCAAAGCTTGAGTCCTCAGTTGATCCAAAACACCACCATTTAGGACCAATGAGCACCTTCTCTCTTTCTTTTTTCCCAAGTCAACGTGAACCCTCAGCCACTCCGCTGTCGATATTTAGTAATGCCATTTACTGTGGCAAGGAGTGTTCAAGTCAGCCTGCTTCAAAGAAAGATGTGTGAAAAGGTCCCACTGAGGAGAACAAATATCTTTCTATCAACTTCCAGGAGAGCAAATTCAAAACCTCTGTGACCAAAATGAGACAGTCCTGTCTGGAAGGTCCTCTACCATCCGAGGGTCCTAATTTCATTCATCTGCTTCCCCCATTTTATAGTCCTTCAGCCAGTTCTGCAATGTGCATCAATTTTTCCTTCTAGAAAAAGATGAGCTACTAAGCAACAGAAGATGAGATTTCCAGGAGAAAGTTAAAGGAATTTTATAGCCTATCTATGTTGTCCGTACCACCCCATGACAGCAGGGCCTTCATAAATTCTTACTAAAAATAATATTGTTTGAGTCAAAAGTGAAGAAAATTTTTCTGCAAGTCTGTGCATAATATAACTCTCCCTGCACAAAGCCTGGGATCAAGAACAGGATGTGTTATGATGCTGTTGTGATGGAAAGAACATTGTGCAGGGAATGAATAAACTCTGTCTAAATGGCATCTTGGAATAACAGTCCCAGGGGTGGATAAGCCTGGGTTTGGGAGTCTAACTGTTCATTCATGGCACCTGTATGATTTACCAGAGGCATCTAAACACATCTAGCATTGTGACACTGATTTGGTCAAGTCTCGAGTCAAATCAGAGTTTGACACAGCAATGAGTCTGCAGTCAGCATCTGCTATCACACATTTAACCTGCAGTAGAAGTGCTGGACCTTTCAGCCAATTTCAGGAATGCAAAGAAGACTCATCAGAATCGAGCACCATCTCTAACCACCATTAGAGTGGCAATGTGTGCACTTTGGCCAATTTCAACCACCCAACAGAGAATCAGTAACTATAATAACACATACACATGTGGTACTTTAAAACTTACAAAGTTGTTTTGAACAACTTTATGACTACTTATTCTCACAACATAAGAATAGATATTGTATCCCTATTTCAAAGGGAAAGAAACTGAGGCTCATAGGAAATAAGAGATTTGCCCAAGAGCAAGGAGCTGGTAGTGTACAGCCGGGACTAACACCCGGGTCATTTCAGCGGGTGACACAGCAAGGCACAGTGATGTTATTCCCAGTCATTCACCTTTGCCCATGACCTTTTCCCACTCCTCAGGCAGCAGGTAGGACAGTCTGGACTTACTGGATTGGAAAGGAAGGAAAAACTAAACAATGAAAAAGCGAATTTCAAGTTTTTAAATTTTGGAACTTCTGGCAGAAAAAAAAATATATTGTAAAATCTGAAAACCCTGGTTTCTGAGTACCAAAAAAAGGCAGCTTTGTACAAACAGTAGAACATAACTGGAGGAAGAGCAAGTCATTTCCCCAAAAAAAGACTTCATTGGCCATGAGGAATCAGAGAAATTTTTAAAAAAGGAATACAAAAGTGGAGGTTCTGTCCCCCACCCCAGGTGGGTACACTAGGTCCAGGAGACAGGCCTGTAGCAGACTCTAAGGTATCCCTCTTCCTGGTGTCTATGCTTTCACATAATCCCCTCCTCTTGAGTATGGATGGACTCTTAGACTTTCCAACAGAACATGATTACATATATGTGATTATGCTGCTATGATTGTAGTGTCCATTGACAAGGAAAAAAAAATATCTTGTTGACTACAAAAAGCCAACTGACATATTGTGAGTTTTCGTGGCAAGGAACTGAGAGTAGTCCCCAAATGACAACAGGAAAATGAGGACCTCGATCTGGCAGCCTCCAAGGAACTAAACACCGCCAACCACTATATGAGCCTGGAAGATCTCTCCTCAGTTGAGGCCCAGATGAGAACTCAGTCCTGGCCGAAATCTTGACTAGAGCCTTATAATAGACTCAGCTAAGCAGTGACCAGACTCCTAACCTGTGGAAACCGTGAGATAGCAAAGCCTCTACATTTGTGGTAAACGTCATTAGGCAAAAATAGAAAATTATACAGATTAGTTTTAGGAATGTGTAGGAGAAGGGATGCCTTTCACTCCCAGCTAAGGTTCAGCAAGGTAAGTGAGGTTCCTAAGTGTTTCACAGCCCCATCGTGGGACAGATGCAGTGAAAGAAAAATGGTGGTTGGAGATGTTTGAGCCAACAGTACCTACATCACTTCCCCAAGTCTGCGTCAGCCTTGCCAAGGCTCAGGAGTACAGCCAAGGGGCTAAAGGGCATGGCTGAGGAGGGACAGCAGACAAGGAGGGTCTTGTGGTCAAGACAAGAAAGACCTGGACCAATAACACAGACATCTCAGCAGGTGCCACTAGGATCAATGCCAGAAACTGAACTAGAGGTCGAAGGCACACCTCTCAGATGCCAGCATGGACTTGTGAGGTTTAAAGAAGGAGTTAAGGACTAGAGATGTAGGTCACTGGTGGAGCACTTACCTAGCAGGTGTTTGTTCCCCAGCACATCGAAGGAGAAAAGAGATTCTATGAATAAAAGATTTCAAACTTTTATGGTTCCATGAGTTAGGCTTTTTAAGGTTCTAATATTCTTTATTCCTAAAGCCTGAAGATCGAGGTGTTCTTGGTAGCATTGTTCTCTACTGGGTTTCTACTGGGGAGAGAGAATACATAAACTAATATATCCAACTGGCCTTGCATTTCTTCTTATTTCGTGCATCCTTGGCTTTAGGACTTGCTTTTATATGTATAGTTTCAAGAATCCAAGCAACTTATAAGACTGGTATGAAAAAGAGCATTTGTACCCACGGCCCCATTTCACCATGCAGAGAAAACTACTTTCAACTTTAAGTTGCTTTGGTCTTGGGCTTTCATCCCTATCTGTAAGTAACACACTGACACTGCGTGTTACTTGGACTTTTCCACCATTCTTTCCAACCCCTCCACACACACCTACTTCCTATTCCCAACCTCCCAATGAAGTTCATTCATTTTTAGTTAAATTCAATAAACTCAATGTTTACATTATTATGATCCATAAATACTATCCACAACTTATTCCTTAGGTTTGTAGGCTATGATTACTTATATTTTCTAATACATTTTCTTTTCCATGGAGTTTTAACATGGTCTTGGTCTTTCATCTGCTTAGTTTTCTATATTCTTGTCATTAATTCAACTATATACAGTAGTCTCTTCTCAATATGTTCAGAATCATTAGGAAGTGTATCATTTTTACATTCTTGAATATTTTTCTCCTAGTCTTCTGATCTTCTCCAATGGTCTGAATTACTGCCTAAATCCAGTGCAACTGTGATCTTGAAATTTCCCTTTACCATTGTTATGGTTTGGCTATGAGGTGTCCCCCTCAAAGCTCATGTGTGAGAAAATGCAAGAAAGTTTAGAGGTGAAATGATTGGGAAATGAGAGCCTGGATTTTGTCTCTAAAAGCTTTTTAAATCTTTCTTCACCCCCAGTGTTCTGAAATTTTATGATGTGCCATGTTTGACACTCAATGGGACTTCTCAGTTTGGATACTTGAGTTTTTAATTCTGAAAAAGTCTCAAATTGTTTCTTAAATGATGTAGTCTTCTTTACTGTCCTTGTTCTCTCTTTCTTTGACTTTTACTATTTGGGTATTGGACCTCCTGAACTGGTTCTATAACTTTCTTATATGGATTCTCTTATCGTCTATCACCAGACTTTCTCTTCTACCTTTTGAGAAAATTTATCAAATTTTTCTCCTACCCTTTCTATTGAGCTTTGAGCTTTTAATTTTGTCTCTCTTCTTAAAATTCCAATAGTTTTGGATTCATAGCATTTTTCTTGTCTCATGAATGAAATGTCTTCTTTTACCTCTGAGAATATTATAAATAGCTGGTTTTCACACTTTTTCCTACTGCAGACTGTTTATTGCAAAAGTCTTGTATCTGTTGTTTTGGTCTCTCTCACACATGTAAGAAAATGTCTTTATAATATAGAGAGCCTGGGCTGGGGTTGTGGCTCAGTGGTAGAGAGCTCGCCTAGCATGTGTGAGGCCCTGGGTTCAATTCTCAGCACCACATAAAAATAAATAAATAAAATAAAGGTTTAGAAAAAATAATAATAATATAGAGATCCTATGCTACCAAATCCTAAGAGTGTGACTTTCAAAAGGTCCCTGGAAGCCCTAAGGATGTGTGGCTGGAATTCAACAGGCCCCTCCACAGTCAGGTGATGAGGACTGTTCATTAGGAGGCCCCTGGTGTCCGGGTCCCAAGTCTTTCCCCTTAGCCTGATCAAACTTCTCAGAGAAGTTTCTTCCTGTTTCCTACAGGAGTGGTGAGGCCTGTACTATGGGTTAAGTGGCTCCTTGGATTTCTTGATTACTAGGTTAAGATTCAGCTTCCTCCAGTCTGACAAAGTCATTATCACTGGCCCATCTGCTTTCCAAGCTCGGTTGGTTGGAAGAACTGGTTGACTCTCCTTTCTTAGTCTTTGTTGAATTTATGAATTTCAAAAATAAAAAAGGAAACGGAAGTGTGGGTGACAGTCTGAGACCTCGCCGCCAAGCTGGGAACCGGAGAGACGGCAAAGACTGACCCCAAGACCGTGCAGGACCTCACCTCGGTGGTGCAGACACTCCTGCAGCAGATGCAAGATAAATTTCAGACCATGTCCGACCAGATCATTGGAAGAATTGATGATATGAGTAGTCGCATTGATGATCTGGAGAAAAACATCGCAGACCTCATGACACAGGCTGAGGTGGAAGAACTGGAAGGAGAAAACAAGATACCTGCCACACAAAAGAGTTGAAGGTTGCTAATTACCCTGAAATCTGGAACACCATTTTTCCAAGCCAAGAGAAGACTGAATGGCTTTTTGCAACTAACTACTACTAAGTGTAGACAGGTTTTATATTATAGTGCATTCTTATCACATATAATAAGTTTTTAGAGTGATTTTTCTCTCCGGTTTCTGGAACACGGTATCTTCACATCTTGAAACTTGGTCAGTTGTGCTCTTAATTATTAAACACTAAAATTTTGGCAGTTCCTGCATAAAATTGTCAAACTTTTTAGTGTATTTTTGTGAAGTCCTTTTTTCCTGCCATTCTTTTCTAGTAGTTGCTGTTTGATAAAAGTTGCTGTATAATTTTTTATTAGATAAGTAGTAAATCCTTCAATTATTGTTGGACTTGGTGACGTAAAACATTTGTAGAGTTGGATTCTTTCATTTTCAGCACAAAGTGACTGTTGTGCTAACACCAAATAATGTGTTGGCGATACTTTCCAAATGGCTAGAAGTTGTTATTTCAGAAGTGTCTGTCACTACTTTGTTGCCAAAACTCCATTGAACCGCAACTTATGACTAGTCTGTGAGATCAGATGCTAAAGTCAGTGAAAAGTAACCACTGCCACTGTACTGCGTTAGCATTTTTAAATACAGGATGTACTTGAATAGCCTGATGTCATGAGGCATTCGTTAGAGTTTTGCATGAGATTCTAATACTTCAGTAGGCCTCTAGTTGTTCATCTACAATGGTTACCACAAAAAAAAGGGGGGGGCAGGATTTTAAACTCAATTATTCCATCCTTTCTTTGAGCTACTGATTGAAAAAGAGAAAAAGAAGAGAGAATATTAAGTCTGTGCCAATCACTTGGCTAGAAAATTATGAATGACTGGTAGTAGGCTCAGGTTTTTGAACTATTTCTTACCTAAATTCTTTCAGAGTAATAATTTTTGTTACTGATTATAAAAGACAGAGTTAATAACATTTGCCATTCAAAACTGCAGTGACCATGGTCTTCATAAAGGCAAACCCAGAAAAGAGTAGGGTTTAAATCTCCCATATCGCCAGTCTTGTTTGTATTGCAAATATATAATATTAAGAAATATTTTGTCTTATTTATAGATTATATGGGGAAAACAGATTCTGTAATAAAGACACCAGAGTTGTCATCCAGCTGCAGCAGCTCTTGGGAGGGGCCAGCAGCAGGTTCTGCAGGGTAACCTGAGTGTGTGCTGCCCGGACTGGGCCCTGGGCCCGCTGCAGCCTGCATGCAGGGTGTGTTCAGGGCTATTGAGAGCAGTAGAAACGACAGGCTGCTGGCTATTGGAGGATGGTGCGGACTTGGGGAGGAGTTGACTTCTTTGAAGTAACATATTTCAGAGGCCAAAAATAAAGGTGCCTGAAATCCTGCTATTGAAAAAAAAAAAAAAAGAATCACTTTTTGGTCAGTGGGATTACAGGAAGAAGCAGGGGTAAATATGTGTCTTTTCCCTCAATCTACTCTCTCTAACTGGGAGTCCTCCATGCATTTTAATACTCTGCACTGTGTGGATCTGAGAAGCCCTCCTTCTCTTGAGTCTTTACGAGCTACATTAGTTTCCTAGGACGGCCATAACAAAGTACCAACAACTAGGTGGCTTAAATAACATAAATTTATCTTCTCACAGCTGAGGGGCTGGAAGCCCAAAGTCAAGGTGTTGGCAGAGTTGGTGTCTTCTGCAGGCTGGGAGGGGGGTGGTCTCTGCAGGCCTCTCCCCTAGTTTCTGGTGGTTTCCAGGGAATCTTTGGTTCCGCGATGCATCCCTCCCATCCCTGCCTCCATCTTCACCTGGTATTCACTCTACGCCATTTTCTTCTTTCATTGTCTTCTCTCTGTCCATGTCTGTCTCCATGTAGCCAAACGTCCCCTTTCTATCAGGACACCAGTCATATTGGGTTAGGGTCCACACTAGTGACCTCACTTGAACTTGATCACTTCTGTAAGGATCCTATTTCCAATAAGGTCACATCCGGAGGTACTAGTAGTTAGTTAGGGCTTCCATATACCTTTTCTGAGGTCACATTCAATCCATAACAAGAACCAACTCAACTTTCTTTCCCTGCATTCAAGATGACACCAAATGCAGGTGAAGGGCCACCTATTTAGAGGTGTCTCCTGTGGAAATCTCAGCCACTGAAGTAAGTACTGCTCTCTTTATGAAGTTGATGACTCTGAAATGGCAGCAGTGTATGGGATAGAAGGCAAGCAAAGCTGTCCAGCAAGGAATAGCAGTGACATCAGTGCTTCCAGAAGGTTCCCATTCAAGCTCCTCAACCCAGGCACAAGGACACTGACTGCAGAGCCATGATTCACCTGACATTCCTCAATAACTCAGTCCTTTACCATGATTTTTGCTGATACTTGGAACCTGGTCTGGAGTCAGGAAACTTGATGGTCTCAGGAGCAACTTTCCTGCCTCACATTCAACCTTTTTTATGCTTTAAGCCTGAAAGTAATGCAATTCTTATATTCTACCCCTTAATATATACTTATTTTGATACTCAAATAAAATCTTAAATAACTGACAGTAGTACATATTTAATTCTCTGGGAGAATACTCCAGGCTTATATCCTAAGGCTTATGAATCACTAACACAAACTGTTTTCTAGATACCCTTTTTGAGAGAGCCTTACTCAATGCAAAAGGCTAGGACAATGACCAGTGACGTTCTCTCACTCATATGGCTCTATAAGAACTTTTTCCCTGGAATCAAACTCAAAAGCTTCTTCACAGCAAAGGAAACAATCAATAATGTGAAGTGAGAACCTACAGAATGGGAGAAAAACCTTTGCCACCCGTATCTCAGATACATATCCCCAGGATATGTAAAGAACTCATAAAAACTTAACACCAAAAAAAAAAAACAAATAACCCAATCAATAAATGGACTTAGGACCTGAACAGACACTTCACAGAAGAATAAATATGATCAAAAAATATATGAACAAACATTCAACATCCTTAGCAATTAGAGAAATGCAAATTAAAACTACACTGAGATCCCATCTCACTCCAATCAGAATGGCAATTATAAAGAACACAAGTAATAATAAATGTTGGGGAGGATGTGGGGGAAAAGGCACACTCATACATTGCTGGTGGGACTGCAAATTGGTACACCCACTCTAGAAAGTAATATGGAGATTCCTTAGAAAACTTATCCCATTCCTCAGCCTATACCCAAAAGACTTAATATCAGCATACTACAGTGACTCAGCCACATCAATGTTTATTGCAGCTCAATTCATAATAGCTAAACTATGAACCCACCTAAGTGCCCTTCAACAGATTGGATAAAGGAAATGTAGTATATGTACACAATAGAATATTACTCAGGCATAAAAAAGAACAAAATTATTTTTTTAATTTCTTTTTAGTTTCATATAGACACAATATTTTTATTTTGTTTATTTATTTTTATGTGGTGCTGAGGATGGAACCCAGTGCCTCACATGTGCAAGGCAAATGTTCCGCCACTGAGCCACAACCCCAACCCAAAAGAACAAAATTATGGCATTTGCCTATAAATGGATGGAACTGGAGAATATCATCTAAGTGAAATAAGCCAATCCCCAAAAAAAAACCAAAAGCTGAATGTTTTCTTTGATATGATGATGTGAATTTCACAATGAAGGGGGCAGTTAGGGAAGAATAAAAGTACTTTGCATTAGAAGAAGAGTCATAAAGGGAAGAGAGAGAAAATGGGAATGGAAAAGAGAATAGAATGAATTGGACATTACTATCCTATGTGCATATATGATCACGTAACCAATGTAACTATACATCATGTACAAGGAGAAGAATGAGAAGTTATACTCCATATAATATGTCAAAATATATTCTACTATTATGTATAGCTAATTAGAACAAATAAAAAGAATTGGAAAATTAAAAAAGAACATTCTCCTTAGATCTTATGGACCAATCAATGGAAAATCCCAGAGAGGTGATGAGAGACGCAAGAGAAGCACATGTCTTTGTAGACTGATATCACAAGGCAACATAACCCTGAAAAGAGGAAAGAGGAGGAACCAAGCCTGATCTGAACTCAGAGGCAGCAAGAGGTAGTATGACAACTATGGGCCTCGTCCTGGAAGACCAAGGATGGCTCCTGGTTCTGCCACTTCTCAGCCACATGAGCCAGGACAGACATGAATGTTTCCTTTGGAAATTTGGGTTGGGAAACAATCCAGTTGTCCCTCAAGGACCCTGGGTGACATCTGCCTGGAAAGAAGGCATGGAGCCATCATCTGAGGATTCTGAAAAGTAAATGCTAGCCGAGATGAGGGAAGGAAACCAGAGTTTAAAGGAACCATCTTTAAAAAGAAAGAAAGATGAGTTTCCTTGTTTTATTCTTCAGTATCTCTGAACCCAGATTCAAAGCCAGTCCAAAACCTGCATAAGAGGAGGAACCGAGAAACTGGGTTCTCCGTGTCATGAAGAGAACCCCACGGTTTTTTTGTTTGCTTGCTTTTCTCTACCTATTCACTCACCTCATGGCTCCGGATGCAGAAGGGTCACAGTAAGTAGGTAGCAGAGTGGGGAAACTAAAACCCGAGCTTTCTAGCCAAAAGATCAGAAGCGGAGGACCTTGGGATTGGTTTAGGCATGAACCTAGAACACAGTTCTGGCCAATGAGAAATGAAAGGAGGCTCTGGGGAGCAGGGAGAGAAGGCAGATTTTGGTAAAATTTTCTTTGCTCTTATAAGGAAAGAGAAAAAAGACAGTCCTGTGCATCACACTGTGGACTGGGACCACAGCAGCCATGTGCAGCCACCATCTGAGCCCGCAGAGGACAAAGCTGACACCGACACAGAGCGAATGGGGGAAAAAAAAAACAATAGAACCGGGAGCCCTGGAATAAACCAGCGTGGAGTGCATTACCCAGGGCTTCTTGCGATGAGAGATCATTTTTTTCTATGTTTTGAGTCAACGAAGAAGAATTTATGGAACCTGCAGCCAAAACGTACCCAAGAGTAATGTCCTATAAGGTACATGCAAGACAAGAAGTTTGCTAGACCAGAAGCAAGGGTCAGGCTCTTAGCTTCCCAGCCGAATATTACATCAGTCTTCCCCAGTGCTCAAAAGATATGTTAACTTTAGGAAAAAATGAGG